TCCCTCCCTCCCTCCCTCCCTCCCTCCCTCCCCTGACCTGTGGCCCTTGCGCCTGCAGCCGGATGCTGGAGTCCTACTGGGACAGCAACAGCAACTTTCTCACCAAGAAGTCCCTGTCCGGGGTCAACCTGGCCTTGGTCATCAATGGAGACTTCCTGGTGAGTGTCACTAGGGTGGATGGGGGTCCCGGCACGAGGGAGGGGCCTGGAGGAGCTGCATGCTCAGGGTGGGGACTGCTGGCGAGGCCGAGCGGGGCCAGTCTGGCCTGGAGGCCATGGCCCCTGGCATAGTCCCCTCCCCTCTGGCTGGCCAGGACAAGCTACTGGTGTCCCTGCGGAAGGAGCCTCGAGCCCTGGTGCAGAACGTGAACGTGGACGAGGAGTGGCAGGAGCCTGCCCAGTCCAGGAGGGACTTCCTCCACGCCCGGCGCCTGTCCCTGATGTTCCGGAGCTTCGGGATCCCGCTGGCCCCGCCGGCCCCGCCACCGCCGCAGTCCCAGGATTCCGGAGGCCGCTGCACCTCCGAGGTGCTACAGGAGCGCACCTTTGTGGACCTGGCATCCCACTGCCAGGCGGTCATCTGCTGCCGCGTGACGCCCAAGCAGAAGGCCCTGATCGTGGCGCTGGTGAAGAAGTACCACCAGGTGGTGACCCTGGCCATCGGGGATGGCGCCAACGACGTCAACATGATCAAGAGTGAGTGGCAGCCGCGGGGCTGGGGTGCCTGGGGCAAGTTGGGGCGGCCAGTGGGGGGATAGTGGGGCTGGGGCAGGTGGGGGGTGCCTGAGGAGGATAGCGTCAGGCCTAGGGGGCCTGGGGTGGGGGGGCAGCTGATGGGGGATGACAGCGCTGGGAGGGCTTGCGGCCAGTTGGGGGTGCCTGATGGGGCCAGTGGTGGGATTGGGGGGGACCTGGGGCAGGTGGGGGACAGCCGATAAGGGGGCAGAACGGTGTGGGGGCCTGGGTTGGGTGGGGAGGGACTGGTTGGGACTGGCGGGACCGGGGGGGCCTGGGGACTCTGACCAGCTGCCTGTGCCCTGCAGCTGCGGACGTGGGCGTGGGGCTGGCGGGCCAGGAGGGCATGCAGGCGGTTCAGAACAGCGACTTCGTGCTGGGCCAGTTCCGCTTCCTGCAGCGCCTCCTGCTGGTGCACGGCCGCTGGTCCTACATGCGCATCTCCAAGTTCCTGCGCTACTTCTTCTACAAGACCATGGCCAGCATGATGGTGCAGGTCTGGTTCGCCTTCTACAACGGCTTCACCGCGCAGGTGCGCCCCGCCCGGGCTGCCCCATGGCCAGGGCCTCCGGGGGGGCCACGCCCCTCCCATAGACCCCAGGAGCCCTGCTGGGTGTCCTGAGAACCCCAGGACCCTCAGTGGCCAGGGCTTGCCTGAGGCCACATGGCAAGGCTGCATTAGTAGAGGCCTAGAGACCAGGTGAAGGGAGGTGACGGTCCCTGTCTAGCTCTGTGCCCAATACCGTCCAGGACATTTGCTTTGCTTTGCCTTGTTTTGAGACAGAGTCTTGCTCTGTCACCCAGGCTGGAGTGCAGTGGTGCGATCTCAGCTCACTGCAGCCTCTGTCTCCCGGGTTCAAGTGCTTCTCCTGCCTCAGCCTCCTGAGTAGCTGGGATTACAGGAGTGCGCCACCACGTCCGGCTGATTCTTCTATTTTTAGTAGAGATGGGGTCTCACCACGTTGGTCAGGCTGGTCTGGAACTCCTGACCTTGTGATCTGCCCGTCTCGGCCTCCCACAGTGTTGGGATTCATGGTGTGAGCCACAGCGCCTGGCTTTGGTTTTACTTTTTTATTTCTAGATTTTTAAAATGGAATTGCTTTCTAGTTTTGTTTGTTTTGAGACAGAGTCTCTCTCTGTCTCTCAGGCTGGCGTGCAATGGCGTGATGTCAGCTCACTGCAGCTTCTGCCTCCTGGGTTCAAGTGATCCTCCTGCCTCAGCCTCCTGAGTAGCTGGGATTACAGGTGCGCGCCACCACGCCCGGCTAATTTTTGTATTTTTAGTGGAGACGGGGTTTCATCATGTTGGCCATGCTGGTCTTGAACTTCTGGCCTCAAATGATGTGCCCACCATGGCCTCCCAAAGTGCTGAGATTACAGGTGTGAGCCACCATACCTGGCCTGCATGGCTTTTTTGATGACGTCCAATTAAAACAAAAGCTTAGAGGTGCTGTAATGAGGGAATGTGATGGTGCTTTCCTCCCTCCCTTCATCTTTCCCGCCTTTATCAGGCTGCACTTTACCCCATCCCAGTCCCACCTCCAACCCTGAGTGTAACTCGACTTTCTACCTCACCTGGAGCCCTCCCTGGGTGCCTGCTGGGCAGGCTCCTTGAGTGCCTGAAGGCTGACGTGTTCTCCTTGCCCTTTTTCCCTGGCTCAGCCCCTGTACGAAGGATGGTTCCTGGCCTTCTACAACCTCCTCTACAGCACCATTCCAGTTCTCTACATCGGGCTCTTTGAACAGGTGAGCAGGGTGAGGCCAGGCCTCCCTTCCAGGTCTCTGCTCATCCTCTCCTCCTGGATGCCTGGTTCTGGGGTGGGCCTGGGAGACCTTCAGGTCTTGGGGTGGTGTTTGGAGGGTCTGGTCCAGCACCTCTCCCCACCCACTGCCACCCAGCTCCTCCTCTGTGTGGGAGCCCATCCGTGCAATGAGGGGAGGGGATCAGAACAGAGGACCCTGCTAGGTTTATCACCCCCCAGGCCCAAGAGGCCCTGGCTACGTGATCTGGAGACAGGAGGGTGGGTCATAGGGAACGTCTCAGGTAGTGGAAGTGTCCCACACCTACGCAACTCAGCACAGAAGCCACCGGCTACACGTGGCCAACGAGGAGCGCTTGTGCTGTGGGCAGTGCGACCCAGGGGCTGGATTTCACATCTGACTTCACGTTTGCTAGAGTGTTTCTTTTTGTGTGTGTGAAACAGGGTCACCGTGGCCCAGGCTGGAGTGCAGCGGCACGACCTCAGCCCACTGCAACCTCTGTCTCCCGGTTCAAGCTGTTCTTCTGCCTCAGCTTCCCAAGTAGCTGGGATTACAGGCGTGAGCCACCATGCTTGGCCAATTTTATTATTATTATTATTATTATTATTTTATTTTTTTTTTTTGAGACGGAGTTTCGCTCTTGTTACCCAGGCTGGAGTGCAATGGCGCGATCTCGGCTCACCGCAACCTCCGCCTCCTGGGTTCAGGCAATTCTCCTGCCTCAGCCTCCTGAGTAGCTGGGATTACAGGCACGCGCCACCATGCCCAGCTAATTTTTTGTAGTTTTAGTAGAGACGGGGTTTCACCATGTTGACCAGGATGGTCTCGATCTCTTGACCTCGTGATCCACCCGCCTCGGCCTCCCAAAGTGCTGGGATTACAGGCTTGAGCCACCGCGCCCGGCAATTTTTTTATTTTTAGTAGAGATAGGGTTTTGCCATGTTGGCCAGGCTAGTCTGGAACTCATGACCTCAGGTGATTCTCCTGCCTCGGCCTCCCCAAGTGCTGGGATTACAGGGTGAGCCACTGTGCCCGGCCGTGCTAGAGTCGTTAACTGTGGTGGACTGCAGATCACATAAACTGCTACCGTCTCAGCCAGACTTCTGCATGCAGCTCAGCACAACCAGTGCATTCGTGTGGCCACACGACCCACCTCCAGAGCTCTTTCCATCTCATTTTATTGTATTCTGTAGACGAAGTCCCATTCTCTCACCCAAGCTGGAGTGCAGTGGTATGATCACAGCTCATGGCAGCCTCCGCTCCTGGGCTCAGGTGATCCTCCTGCCTCAGCCTCCCGAGTAGATGAGACTACAGGTGGATACCACCTCACCTGGCTACTTTAAAGATTTTTTAGGCCGCTGTGGTGCTCACAGCTGTAATCCCCAGCACTTTGGGAGGCTGAGGCAGGTGGATCACAAGGTCAGGTGTTTGAGACCAGCCTGGCCAACATTGTGAAACCCCGTCTCTACTAAAAATATAAAAATTAGCCTGGTGTGGTGGCTGGTGCCTGTAATCCCAGCTACTCAGGAGGCTGAGGCAGGAGAATTGCATGAACCCAGGAGGCGGAGATTGCGGTGAGCTGAAACTGTGCCACTGCACTCCAGCCTGGGTGACAGAGTGAAGCTCCATTTCCAAAAAAAAAAACATGTTTTTAGAGACAGGGGGTCTCACTATGTCATCTAGGCTGGCCTCGAACTCCTGGCCTTAAGCAATCCCTGACCTCCCAAATTGCTGAGATTGCAGGTGTGCGCCACCGTGCCTGGCCTTACTTTAATTCAGCGAAACTCCAGGAGCCACACACAGAGAGTGGCTACCCGATTGGCCTGCCGGAGGAGGTCCCGACCTCTGTTGGGTGTCCCCACCCCCAACCCAATCCCAGGAGCCTCCCCTTTCCCCCAGGACATAAGTGCGGAGCAGAGCCTGGGGAAGCCGGAGCTGTACGTGGTGGGGCAGAAGGATGAGCTCTTCAACTACTGGGTCTTCTTCCAAGCTGTCGCCCACGGCATGGCCGCCTCTCTGATCAACTTCTTCATGACGCTGTGGATCAGCTGGGACACGGCGGGGCCTGCCAGCTTCAGCGACCACCAGTCTTTTGCGGTCGTGGTGGCCCTGTCCTGCCTGCTGTCCGTCACCATGGAGGTGGGCAAGGTCCGGGGCCTCAGACTTGGCCATCGAGGTCTCCTACCCCGGGACCCCTGCTCTGGGGGCCTTGCCAACGCGCTTCCTGGACCCCGGGGGCTGGAGTCCAGCTGCAAGCTCCCCTGGGCCGGGCTGACCCCAGGCTGCCCTTGCAGGTCATTCTCATCATCAAGTACTGGAGTGCCCTGTGTGTGGTCAGCATCCTTCTCAGCTTGGGTTTCTATGCTGTCATGACGACCACCACCCAGTGCCTCTGGCTCTTCAGAATGGCCCCCAAGACCTTCCCATTTCTATGTGAGCCCCCGTGGGGAAGTGGGGCGGGCGGTCACCATGCAGAAGGCCCCCTTGGGAAAGGTCGCTGGTTGCCCCTGACAGTTGTCCAGCCAAGTCTCCTGGGGAAGGGGCTCCTTTAGGACCGGGCACAAAGGTGCAAAGGTGCTCCATGGCCTGGGGGTGTCCTCAGAGCTGGGGGCAGCACAGGCGGCATCCCCCAGCAGGTCCCTAGCAAGCTTACCTGTGACCCCCCCGCCCCGTCCCCAGACGCCGATGTCAGCGTGCTGTCCTCCCCGTCCATCCTGCTGGTGGTCCTGCTCAACGTGTCCTTGAACACCCTGCCTGTCCTGGGCCTCCGAGTCATCTTCCAAGCCCTCAGGAAGGCGCGTGCCGAGGTGAGGTGGGCCTAGGCCTGGGGTCCTCACCTGACACCTTCCAGGGCCCTGGTGGGGGAGCCACGCAGGGTGGGCATAGGGGCTGCTCTGGGCCCTCCAAGATGCAGGGCTGGGGCAGAGCCCCCGACACACGCCCAGTGCCCCCGGGGGCCGGTTTCCCAGGAAGAGAGACCTCACTCCCCAGACACAGCAGCAGAGAGCACCCAAAGGCTCTCTGATCCGTCAGAATCTTCAGGCTTTTAATTAATTAATTAATTTTTATATTTTGAGGCAGGGTCTTGCACTGTTGCCCAGGCTGGAGTGCAGTGGCACGATCTCGGCTCTCTGCAACCTCTGTCTCCCGGGTCCAAGCGATTCTCCTGCCTCAGCCTCACGGGATTATAGGTGCCTGCCACCACCCCCAGCTGTTTTTTTTTTTTTTTTTTTGAGACGGAGTTTCACTCTTGTTACCCAGGCTGGAGTGCAATGGCGCGATTTCGGCTCACCGCAACCTCCGCCTCCTGGGTTCAGGCAATTCTCCTGCCTCAGCCTCCTGAGTAGCTGGGATTACAGGCACGCGCCACCATGCCCAGCTAATTTTTTGTATTTTTAGTAGAGACGGGGCTTCCCCATGTTGACCAGGATGGTCTCGATCTCTTGACCTCGTGATCCACCCGCCTCGGCCTCCCAAAGTGCTCGGATTATAGGCGTGAGCCACCGCGCCCGGCCTTGTTTTTTTTGTATTTTTAGTAGAGGTGAGGTTTCATTACATTGGCCAGGCTGGTCTCGAACTCCTGACCACAAGTGATCCACCCACCTCAGCCTCCCAAAATGCTGGGATTACAGGAGTGAGCCCCCATACTGGGACGTAATGTTTTTATTTATTTATTTAATTTTATTTTTTTAGAGGTAGGGTTTCCCTATGTCATCCAGGCAGGAGTGCAGTGGCACACTTACTGCTCACTGCAGCCCTCACCTCCCAGGCACAAATGGTTCTCCCAGCTCAGCCTCCCTAGTAGCTGAGACCACAGGCATGCACCACCACATCCAGCTAGATTTTTGGCTTTTTTCTAGAGATGGGGTCTCATTATGTTGCCTAGGCTGGTCTCAAACTCCTGGCTCAAGCAGTCCTCCTGCCTTGGCCTCCTAACATGTTGGAACTTCAGGCATGAGCCACACCGTGCCAGGCCGACACCATCAGATTCTGCCACGAATGATCGAGCTGTTGGGGTTGCGGTGGCGGAAACAGCCTTGACATGGTTCAGGCAAGAGGAGGGGCTCGGACAGATGGGCGGGCCAACGCGCATGCGCACAGCCTGGAGAAGGAGCCAGGCTCTGGCCCAGGCCACAGTTTGGACACGCCTTGGGGGCGTGGTGCCCAAGGCCAGGCGCGGTGGCTCACACCTGTAATCCCAGCACTCTGAGAGGCTGAGGCAGGAGGGTTGCTGGAGGCCAGGAGTCCAAGACCAGCCAGGGTGACATCGTGAGACCCTGTTTCTACACAAAATTATAAATGAGCAACCGAGCATGGTAGTTCATGCCTGTAACCGCAGCGCTTTGGGAGGCCAAGACAAGAGGATCGCTTGAGTCCAGGAGTTCAAGAGCAACCTGGCAATTTGAGAGACCCCGTCTCTACAGATAAAAAAAAGAAAACATGATTCTCAGTGAGTGAAGCCAGACATAAAAGACAAATATTAGTTGATTCACTTATATGAGGTCCCTAGAGTCGTCAGATTCACAGAGACAGAAAGTAGAATTTGGCGTGCCAGGGACTTGGGGCTGGGGACAGGGAGCGAGTGTTTCGTGGGGGCAGAGTTTCCGTTTGGGAATATGAAAAGGTTCTGGAAGCCGGGTGCGGTGGCTCAAGCCTGTAATCCCAGCACTTTGGGAGGCCGAGGCGGGTGGATCACGAGGTCAAGAGATCGAGACCATCCTGGTCAACATGGTGAAACCCCGTCTCTACTAA